CTGATATTGTAAAAAGTTGCTCAGACAAGATATAACAGTTGCTTTTATGTTTGAGTACAGGCTAAATTGTAAGTTTTTGAGAGGTATGCCTGCAATTTTTTTTACTATCTCCTAAGGTCAGTTTTCATGTATAAATGATTTTTTACCCCTGTTTTAAGTGCTCTTCGGGTGCTCTTTCAAGCAATGCTCCTTGGTGGCTTTTTTCCCTTTTCATCTGCCATTCAAAAGCTGTATGGCTGAGTGACAGATGGAACCAAACTTTCACTGTACTTAGAGGAGAACAGCTTAACTCTCCAGCCAGGCAACATTTGTTTTAGGGTGAGCTGAACAGCCTTCTCAGCTGGGTGCTATAATTAGTCTGTGGATATCTAGTTTAGGTGTAGGCATCTGAATTTCAGACTTAACAGGAGCTGAATGAACCTTTACTTTTGTAAAATGCTATGCAAAACTAGGGAGTAGCAAGTTCTGTATCATTGGAAAAGGTATTTGAGAGCATCCATCAAACTTTCCTTAAATAATCCCCGCTRGTCAATTTGACAGGGTTTTCCTCTCTTTTAAAAAATTCAAATCTCCCTTAAAAAAACCATAACCACCCCTGAATACCCCAAAAACATTACCAAGACAGAAATACAACCATATTTTTAAATCTGAAGTTAAAAAGTTTAATTCTTTTGTGTTGGAGGTCTTTGGTCTCTGTTGTCCTTGGAATACTCCTTGACATTGGGTCTTCTTCATTTCAGCTGCTTCTGTTACAGTTTCACAGAGGTGCTGCTGGTGCCTGGCTCAAGCATTGCTAAAAAAATAGTTGTTAGAGCATCTGAGGTGAGAAAAGCCAAGGCATCCAGCACACCTCCCACTACTTCTATTCCTGTACTCACTCCTAGAACACTTGTACTGTAGACAGAATTTTTAAATGCCTGATGAGAATTACTGGGAAAGCAACTATGTGGAGAACACTGAGATGATTTTCATGTTTTATGGATGACTGATTTTAGTATGAAAGAAACACTTCTTAAAGAATATTCTGGAAGCAAATGTTTTGCATGATGCTCTGAAAGCAGGAGAGATCAGTTCTCACATAATTCTTAAAAAGGATATACATCTATAAACTCTGAAGAGGTAATAAAAAGATATTTAGAGTGTAGAACAAATTTTACCTTTTTTTCAAAGCTGCAAATCCTGCCTGTAGTATAGACCAATGTGTTTTCTCTGCTATGTTTGCACAGCAGTAGGGATTTTAGGTTACATACATGTTTTGTGATGTTTGAATTCTTTGCCTATACACCCCTAAGGCCTCCTCCAGCAGAGCTGAGAACAGGTTGTCTCAGGACAGTCAGAAGAGTGTTAGGGATATCTACTACTCACAGAAAACTCAGAGCTCTGAAAACAGAAAAAAAAATATTAATATTTTAAACATTTGAAAATAAACTCTACATAAATTCATCCTTACAGTGAAATATTGCTTAGTTCTAGCAGTTCAGGTGCTTTTGAAGCTAAAAAACAGGCCATGCCTTAGATGAAAGCAATTTCCATTCCAAATCCTAGCTTTGCCAGTTCATGTTAAATAGCAAATCAGTCTGAAGGGATATTGCACACAGAGTATTTGAATCAAACGCTGTTAATCTATTTTTGTTCTGTACAGATCTCAAAACAATGAGTGAGCGACTCAAGAACAGGTACTACGTGTCTAAGAAATTATTCATGGCAGACCTGCAGCGAGTCTTTACAAACTGCAGAGAGTACAACCCCCCCGAGAGTGAATACTACAAATGTGCCAATATACTGGAGAAATTCTTCTACACAAAAATTAAAGAAGCTGGATTAATTGACAAGTGACACTGTCTTTTTTACAACCAAATAGCGTGCCTATGTTATGAACAGGGAAAGCCGTTCTTTATCTGAGTTGTGGGACTTTCAAGAAACTTCTGTTTAATACTTAGCACTTTTAAAAACCCTTTTAGTTTTKCAAACATGTATTATACTGAAGTTACAAAAATTATTTTATTAAAATGCTTTGTAATGTATTTAATTACGGAAAATTTCTTTTGTGTGCCGATTACCTTATGTTCCTAATAAGTTTATCAGCTACAGCCTCAGAAACCCCACAAACATGGGGGAAGTTGCACATGTTTGGGAAGATGAAGAAAATTCCCAGACAACAGATGTTATAGCTTACCTAATGTTATAACTTACCTAATGCAGTACCTATTTGATAAAGTTTTATTATTTTTTCCAGTAAAAAAAGAAAATAGTAAGGGAAAACAACAGGTGTGGGGGGGTCTGAAACACTTGTTTCTTTGTAGAATCTTTTTATAAGATATTATTTTTTAAAAGAAACACTCAGCTGGTTGAGAAGCTGTGAGAGAAGAGCAGTCAGTTCCAAAAAAGGACTGCCTGCAACCTTTGATAGATGCAAGTTTTTCTATTCATTTTAAGTTTTGATAAATATTTTACCTGCAAATTGTAATCTCATAACCACTCTTTAAAAAAAAAAAAAAAAAAAAAAAAAAAGAAAAAAAGAAAAAAAAATCTGGCTAGATGCGTAATGTCATAGTGACTTGGCTTATGCAGGACATAAGTACCCAAAATAACTTTAGAGACTACTTCACATCTACTAGACAATTTTAATTGGCTTAGTAGAGTTTAAGGTTTTGATGCACTTCATGATCCACCCTACTTATTACTCTTCACTGCAARATTCTTTAGATTATTCAGCAGAAATAAGACTGTTGTACATGAAAGAAGAAAACATAGGACAGCTTTGAGCTTAGATACTTGGCTCTGTGGTAAACTGGATTTTCTACCAAGCTTTATTGTAAGTGCTTATTAACTGTGATTATTTAGATCCAGGAACATATTAACATTTTACAGCTCTTTTTAGTATATCTTCAAAAAGAACACACACACACATATTATATATATATACATATATATATATATATTGCTGCTTACACTACATTTAAGAGGTACATCTGCATCCTAATGGAGATAAGTACAGGCCAAAAAGCTGTCCCCTGACATTTTTTAATTAGATTTGTAACTGTAAATTATAATTGCTTTTGTGAAAAATGGATTAGATTTTCATTCTTGGTGTTTTATCTTTACAGACGTTACACTGGTAAAATTCAATATTTATGAGACTGGGAAAACCAATCCTGTGCTGTGTCAAAGAATCTATTCCTGCAGAATGCCTGTGCAATGTTAGATTTCAAGTCAATTCAGCAAGGAGATGTCAGAAACTATTTGGAAGTAGTAAATGTGGTACCCAAGGTATTCAAAATGTTAATGCTGGACTTGCCATAGTGTTTTGTATTAATTTAGTCTGACCTACATTGGAATCTATAGCAAAGGTACAGTGAGTACTGTCTTTTTAATAGCCAAAGCAGGATGCTATAAACCTGTTTTGTAGATTGGGCCTACAGATGCACCTGTTAAGCTTGGTAACCTGTGAATTTTTGTTATTTTCAGAGTAGATTTTCTTATTGTCTTTCAATCAGATTGTCTCTTCTATATTGAAACGTGTTTTCTAATTTAAGAATTAATATTTTCATAGATACTGTGCAATAAAGTTATGGTAGGATATGTGGTTTTGCAAATGCTTTAACAGCTGATGAACTTTACATTGTCAAATTAATATATTGTACTGGTACAGAATAGTTTTAAATTATATATGTACAAAACCTGACTTACTTTGGTCTCTTTTTTCATTAATTAGTACTTGTGATACAAACATACATACTGAAGCAATTTCACCAAGCACAGTGAAGCTACAGGAGTGYTGTCAGTGCCTCTTCCAGGTGGGATAGAAAAAATGCAAAATGGGCTCTGAGTTCACCACAGCACAATGGGCTGAGCTGTGACCAGTCCAAATAGTATTCCCAGCTTTATGTTAACTGAGATACTGTGCTGTTACTTCCCTTCCTCAACATTTCCAACAGTTCTGTGACTTAGCTGTCCCAGAGTTTTGGTTTTTCACCTCAAAGCATGCTTTTGCTGTTTGCTGGTATTTGCTTTCAAGAGTCCTTTACTCACAACACATAATATATGTAGCACCTCAGTCTAGACTGAGCTTGTACCATCACCATAATGCTACTGAGATGATCACTTATTTTGCATCCCATAAACAAACCCTGCACCTATCCAATGCCTGATAGAGCTAGAGTAGGAAGAGAATTTTCATTTCCCCATCTGCTCAGATTTGGTCTGCRACAGTGTTCTGTTCAGAGGGTAGCAACAGTGGCCAAGAGCCGTTTTACTGAGCACTTCTAGAGAGAGCAGTTGAGATCAGGAAGGACTGATTTCTTCCTTACACAGTTCCATCACTTCAATTCTTCAAGCTCACTCAATCCAATATGAAAAAAACCCACCAGACTCACCACACCTGCCTTGGGCTGCTTTGCAGTCACCTTGTCCTTTTTCTGTTCCTGATAAATAGCTGTTGCATATTTGTTTCATGAAAGAGCACCTGTGGTTCACGGAATACCCTCAACTCTTAAGTGAGTGGCCTATACAGGGATTGGATCCACAACTTTTGCATTATTAGCACCAGCCTCCAACCAACTATAGTTCAACCACATTGCTTAAATTCCTCTGGAATTGTAGTTCTAGACTGAGATGGTGAGGCTATACAGCTAGAATTTTAGGATATAAGGGTAAAGTTAAGTTTCTCTCCCAACATCCAAAGGCTGTACTGTGAACAACTATTTTCAAACAGTCAGAAGTTGCAGCTAGTATTGTAACTTCTTGCATGACTCAACAAGGAAAATAGTAATGAATATTTTTATTACAGAAAGGGAGAGTTCTTGCGTCTGTTGAAGTGGGACAGGCACTCTTGCAAAATAAACGAAGAGTGTGTAGTTTTTTTACTTCCCATTAGTGAGTTCAAATGTAGCTTTCATTTGGATATTCACATTCCCATTAGTTTGAGTGGTGGACAGTTCATAATGTTATTCTCATATGCAGCCTAGTGTGGCACTAAACAGAAGCTCAGGGGTGGTGCTCTTCCTCTGGAAAGGTATTGGGCAAAACAGGGAGAAAATTATTATAAACTATTATGATAGCCCCCCAACAGCTGGGACTCATAGTTTACATTCCACCAAAGTGGAGCCTTCTTCACCAACCTCCACAAGAAATTTGCYTTGTTTCTGTCTGGTTGATTCTAACTTGCATTCAGCTGGTCATGCACTAAGCCTAATGCTGCTTTTGAGAGCTGCAGCTACAGAATCAAATTACAGCTGGTAATTTGCTTCTCAACAGCCTTTATATGCCAACAGAGTACACAGGYCTGTAATGCCCACTGCTGACATTACTGCCCTTGAAGCAACTCTGAAAACTGCCAAAAGAACATCAACCAATATCAGCTCTCTTTCCAAACATAAGGTATTTATTATAAGATTCAATATGAAACTACAACCATCACATAAACAAGATCTGTACAAACACTGTCATTACAAATACTTCCTACCCAAAACACCTTAAGTGTGTAAAGTTCACACATAAAATGATATTCACCATGTTACCCATCAGAGATTTCTYATATACTCCCAGATCCATTCAAAAGGAGCCTGAATAGAATCACTTTAGYTATAAAAGCAATCATATCATCAAAAGAGGTCACTAGCATAAATCCAGRCCCTCTTAATCTGCTATTCTTAATACTAGATAACATGTGCAACAAGATATTTCAACCAGGAAATKTCTTTCTGCATGGCAGAAGCAGGGTTTTGCTGAAAATCTCAACGACACCTAACCAATTTCTCGTTGTATTTTTTCATAGAATCTTTCTTAAGAGAACGGCGCTTAGGGTCTTTTCTCTCCTTGAAAATTGGAGAACACAGGAACTTTGTATCTGTAAATGGATCTCCTCTCCTGAGTTTCCTGTTTGAGAAAAAAGCAAAACTGAGTTCTTTTCACTTAATGTTTAGCTARTAAATTCAATTTCACATGAGTTAGGCTGTATTACTAACTCTCGACTTCTTTGAATGAGCTCTTATGTTGAGATCCTATTTCCAAGATCTAAATAAGCCTCTCAAATCCTCTATTGGATAGAAAATMATGGACTTTATATAAAACTACAGACACCTACCCTCCAATACTTGGTTCTTTATAGCTCACAGTAACAGTACAGCTTCGCCGCTTGCGTTTTGGAGACTGAGYTTCTTCACCTTCAGGGACAGCTGCTGGGTCCCCAGTGCTGGGGAGCACTGCAGCTGTATTGGTAACRTCACAGAGATGCCCACGAGATGGCTCAGAAGGCTGCCCTGTGAAGAAATTAGGCACAGTTCAGGTCACTCAGGTAAGCAAGCTTAAAAGAAAATCTAACCATTCTTAAAACATTTTTAGTTGCTAATGAAAAAAAAAAAAAAAAAGCCTAATCCTCTATAACAATGTTACCTTTCAAGGAAATAAAACCAATTTCTGTACTTACTGATAGACTTAACACTTGATTTGTTGCTTTCAGTCTCTTCTTCATGACAGAGTTTCTGCTCACGCTGTGCCAAACATCTTTTAGACCTTGGCCTTGGATGGATTGGTGATGTGGGGTTCTCATCCGCTAAACTTCGTCTTTTCTTCGATTTACTCTTGAAAGGCTCATAGAGGCTGTCATCTGAATCATCTGCAGTACTGCTTGATTCAATGGTATTGGTTTCAGCTGAGTCTTCTTCATCATCCACTTCAGTATTGCTGGTGTCTGCCTTGTTCTGTCGAAATGGTGTAAGATGGACACTCTCTTCCAAATGAAAGTCATAAGCATCACTGATGCCACCCAAGAAATTCTGCTTTTCTTTAGAAGCCTCTTTACGCTGTTTTACTGGTCTTTGCTGGGAAGTACGTGGCCATTCCGGTTTTCCTTTCTGATGCTTTTCTTTCCTTCTTTGAGGGTTTTCTCTGCTTTTACGCTCTGGTTGTTTAAGATCAGAATTACATTTTAAGTTGAACTGTGTAGTTTCAGAATTTTTCTGGCTCAACACCAGTTCTGAATTGACCTTGTTTTCACTGAAGKGAGGAATAGCTGCATTTATATTTTCTGCAGTACACTTCTCTAGGCTTTCCTCAAGCCTAATTTCAGTCTGTTCAGAAAGTTCTTTTACTGAATCAAGTGCTTCTGGATGGTCCAAGACATCAGTACAAATGACATTAAAGTTGCTCGTCTTTGAAAAGTGACGTCTGATGGACACACTTCTTGGTAACACTCTACCAGATTCAAAGTTCACACTTGATGAAATGTTTCCCTGCTGTGACTCTGTGTTGTCCTGATGAAAATCAGAGATCTGTCCTTGTAATTGAARAGAAAATGTCACATTAAAGCTAAACAGTACCACCATGTTAAGGCTTTGTCTAAGAATTCTGAACCTGTCAAAAATTCAGACTATTCTTTAGGTTTTCTCAACAGATTTGTATAAATTAGGATTTGGCAATTAAGATAAGGGCTGTTTAATACAGCTTACAGGCAGAAAGTAGTTAGTTATATAACATCAGTATTATCCTAGAAACCRTTCCTTTTGGAAAGGTTATTTACAGGTCATTTATTTTCCTGATAACAAGTTTTTATTGATTCCATAAATGCTGATGCCTATCTAAAGGTAATTTGACTTGGCTGAACTGTTTGGTAGATTCAAATTCCTTCCCATTTTGCTGGACATCTTCATTCAAACATTTTACAGGACAGCATTAGTATTCCCCTTTTATGACAATAAGCAGAAAATTACACGTCAGTTCCTTCAAAAGCAGCCATTTTTAAAACTTGTACTCACATATTTTTTTTCTAATTTAAAACAGAGCAAGATCTGATACTTGGACTTCGTTACCTTCACTTGGAATTATTTTGGTGAAGAAAATGTCACTGTCAGGTTCCACACAGATCTTTGACAAAGAATTTCTATCACCACCAGCTTCTATCCTACTTGGAAGTATGGAAGCATCTTCATGAGCCCACTTTAGAGGTCCTCTAGAGAAAATACCAAAGGGAGTATTTACTGAACAGCAATAAAATTTATTACATGGAACAATTTCATTACAATTTCATTCATTGGGTTTCTTCTCTTTTTCTAGTCAGAAAATTAAACTTCCTGTAACAGAGTTTTCAAACATAAACAGGCATTAATTAATGATACTTACACTGAATGTATTGGTCCTGTGACACTGCAACTGTTCTCACGATCTGAAGAAAGCACTCTTTGATTCTGTCAACAAAATTAATCTTACTGTGATTAAATGGCTGAAACAAGCATGGACCACCTAAAAATATTGGGTAACAGCTAAGTTACCCAAGGGAGGACCAAAGAGGCCCTTGAATCTTTCTTAATATCTGACTGACATTAAGTGCTGTAGGTGTTTGCCAGCCATCTACTCAGCCTCTGCACACAAGAATTTTCTTCATKAGCCCAATCCTACAGCAAGGTGAAGGAGCTGTGCACAAAACCCCAGAAAATCAGTGTCCCAACCACCTCTGAGCAGAACCTCAGATTCACTTACAACCTACTGATACACCCCAACAGTATGCACCCCATGGCATACTGGGAGCTGTGGGACTAGTCCTTCCTCTAAACTAAGGCTCAAATCTAAAAAAACATGTGGCTCTGTGGTGGAAGGAGTGGAATCATTAACAAAAGTCCTGCTTCTCAAGAGGAWAAGATACTTACCATGTCCGTGGAACACAAATTCTTTGCTGGGCCAAGGAGAGCAACTGAGTCCAGTAAATTCTGAGAGACTTTGGAAATTATCTCATTCAAGGCTGACAGTCGATTCTAATGGACAAAGGAAGGACAGTAACACTGTTACTATCATACTCCATTATCAACTACAAACATCTTATTATCATTATGAGATAATTAAAATCTGTTAGGTTTTATCACCTTCACATGTGATAAACTCTCCATAAAATTCACAGAAGATAGATTTTTAATATTTAAAGAAGAAAGTGCAGACCTAGAATCTTCAAAAACCTTAATTAAAAAAATTAAAATCTTTCTTATTTGAAATACATTTAAAAAAGTAGGGAGAAAAAAAAGATTACAAGACATCATAGGATCCAAACCAGCATAAAAGGTTAGGAGAAGAAATGCTTATTGTACATACTGAGTTAATTTTTATGAAACATTTAATAACATAGTGATATACCAGTGGACTGGTATAGATTCTGATGTTCAGCTTCACCAGCTCATAAAGTTATAATTAAAAATACCTCCACAAGTCTTTGTTCTTGCTGGAACCTATGATTTCTTTGCAAGTCAAACATCTGAGCTTTCAAAATGTGATAATCTTTCTTTAGTTGAAGAATGGTAGCTTCAGCTTCCCTCAGTTTCAGCTTTTGTTCTTGCAAGGACAGAGCCAGATCTCTGTTGTTGGCTTGAATTGTCTTCATTTTGTTGGAGTTGTTGGCTGAAACATAACAGTGAGTGATTCAACTGGGTTTGAAAAGAAAACAATAAATCCTAAGATATTTAAGCATCTTACTTGCTCTTTTGCCCTTTACAGCGAAGAACTGGGTAGGTTTACCCAGCTTTGCCGATTTCTGAATTCTTTTTTCTCTCATACGTTGTTTTATGTCATCCAGACTGTCTTTGAAGGACTTCCTCGAGCATTCTGCCATCTTCTACCTTTAGAAAAATAAAGCATCCATGAAGTTGGGGTTGCACCACCCTCCCCAAAAGAAAAGGGGCAAGGGAAAAGGGCCAAGGGACACACGAGTAAAGCTCGCGGGGCAGTTTTAAGTGAAGATACACACAGAGCAGAGACCCGCAACCAGGAAAAGAGCCGCGGCTCTGGCCATCCTCACCGCAGCTGTTGCAGCGTGGCCGCTGTCACGATCGCGCGTTGTCTGAACTGCAAGCCGCTCGGTGCCCGCGGTAGGGCCGGGGAGAGCTTTAAACACCGGCGCCGGAGGGAAGAGCTGGGACGGGGCCTGTCTCCCGACGTGTCAGCAGCCGGCTCTGCTCCTCCAAATCTGCAGGCTCAGCCTCCCAGCACCSGCCAGCGCCCGGCCGTACCTGCTCGGAACGGCGAGTGCAGAGCGGGCACCTCTCACCCACAGGCCGCGGCCGCCCGAGCCCCGGCGGAGCCGGCCCGCAAGGACCCGCGGTTGTGCGTGACAGCGGCGGCCCGGATTTTTCCTCTTCCCGCAACTCGGTGTCCCTCCGCTCCGCAGGTCTGGCTCCTGCCCTGGCCAAGCCCGGCTGTGCTGTGCCCCGCTCGGCTCGGCTCCCGCTCGGCGGTTCCCGGCAAAGGCAGAGCGGCCGCTGGGCCCCGCGGGGCGGCACCACCCGCGCCCGCCGCCGCCACGCGCCGTTCAAACCCCGCCGCCGCCGCCTCCCATTGGTGCGTCCCGAGCGCGCGTCACGCCGCGAGCGCCGCGSGCGCCTGCGCCTGGCCCCGCCCACCGCCGGCACCGCCTCAGAGAGCGCGGGTGAGGGCGGGAGGAGCGACTGCGGGTGAAAGGGCAAGGTCGGGGGAGTAAAATCATTCATCTGGAGAGGTTTGCTGCCCTCCAGTTTATCTGGTTTATTGCCAGTCCTCGCTTCTTGATGAGCATTTCACACTCTGGAGTTGCGCTGTAGCGTTATCCACGGCTAGACCGTGACGTGTAGGACAAAGCGTGAGGGGAAGTTATATCTTCTATGTGCTCGTATGCGTCTTGATCGTGGCATGCTGAATCTTGATTAAACACTGGGAGAAACGGGARGAAAAAAATGTGCTAAACAGTGCCTTACTGATAGAATAAATGGTACTCTCCATTCTGATAAATCAGCATTTCGTAGCTGCTACGCTTTTTTATTACACCTATTCCTGATTTCCTGGTTTTATTCATTACAGCCTGGATGTGGTGTGGCAATTGATTTCAAACTTGAAAACTTATCGTGCATCATGCCAGAAAACACAGTTCACGATATGCATGAATTTGTCCTTTTCCACTCCTTGCAAGATAATGTAATTTTTGTTTTTCCGGTTCAGCATAGCTGGTCTCATTTCTGTAGTTGTTACTGTGGTGTAAATAAATATTTAACTTATTCTCCTACTTCATTGATAGATATTGTTAAAGTTGCTGTTGCATTCCTGCTAGCAAATAATTTGCCCTGCAAACTCAGTTCTTGATGCAGTGTGACAATACTCTTTGGAGACTTGAGATCATGTAAAAAACCAMGTATTTTCTTTAGGATTCAGCATAAAAATTATGACCAGTTTGCACACATGAGACCCACTTATTTACCTGTAACACACAAAACCACAGCAATCCATAATCTTAGTTTCTCTTTACCTGTTTTTCCTTTCTTTTGTCTGCTTTTTGAGCCTAAGTAACACCTGCCAATCCATCCTTCCAGCCCCAAAACAACTCTCCCAAAACAAACATCTCACAAGCCTAGGGCAAAAGGAAATTAAAAAATTTAAAAAACCCAACCAAGCAACCAAAAAAATACCCCACTGCCACCCCCTCGCCTCAAACCAGTGAAAAAAATAGAGGAATAGTAGACATTAAAAATCACATAGTCTGTAGAAATCCTGGTTTTCTGGTACTGTATGATTAACTTCACATTCCCTCCCCACAGGCCTCTCACTATTTTCAAGGCAATAATTGGGTGCACTCCTCCACTCAGCCGCAGCAAACAGTGTCACCTGGAGCATTGCAAATTTCTCTTCCTCTAAAAAATAGATGAAACTATCTGGTTGAATTCGGCTTCTGGGGATTTGGGAGGTTGTTGTTCAGATTTTTTTTTTTATTTTTCCCAGCTAAACACAGCTATTCTAACCCAAGACAATACCTTTCCCTATAAATTTTGTTTTGCTTAAAGGCAAGCAGGTGTTTTGCATGTGGCCAAGTAGCAGTTGATAGTTCCCAGCAATGCTGGTAAGATCTTTTATCCATTAGTCATTTATTAGCTTGACACAAATACACTGATTGTGATTAAATGAACCCTGTTTTGATTAAAAAATAATGATTTCCTCATTACTTTCGAAGTGCTACTCTTAATTACATATTTTTTTTGTCTTCAGTATACCTATATGAAGATTAAAAATCCCCTCATCACCTTTTTTCTTTCTGTTGTTTCCATCAATTTTGTTACAGCTCTTTCAGAAATACGATGGAGTCTTTCTGCAGATTATATTTGATTTCCTGTATTTGGATTTCTATATCCTGATAATCATATTTTCACGCTACTGAGGTGTGCTCATTTGTGCAGTAGATTCATCTCTAGACAGTTGTGTTTCTATTAGATTATTTGCAGGTTACACCCTCTGTGCCATTTTATTTATTTATAGCACAGGATTCCAAGTAGTAGAATTTTTCTAGCACAACTGAATCTTTGCTGTAAGCAATCTCACATTTTCCTCTATAAAGATTGATGCTGTCATTGATGCCAGAGTTGCTATGGATTATTAGTTTATTTCTAGCGGGTGTACTCATGTGGCAAAACAGCTGCCACTGCTGCGGCTGGAATTGCAATATGAAAAGATTTGCTCTCATCTTAGATTTATTGTCTTGAATTACAAGGCAAGAGTTGCTTCATATAATTACAGCAAATTACAGAAATTGGAGCTGTGATTCTGGGAGCATTCTGGATACTTCTTTCAGAGTTCACTTCTGAATGTGGTCTTACATGGTGATGTCCAACACACTCTTGTTTGACTCAGAGTTGGAAAGTTGTTTTTCCCARCTAAGCAAGCAATCAGATATGAAATATCCCATGCAATTTTAATTAGCTGCTTTTATTGCTGCCTACACCAAAGTCTTYAAATAAATGGAATTTTAACTTTTTRAGTGGATGCTTATGATAGTCTAGTACTTGATTGAAAATATTGTTAAAACTCCTACTGGTTTCAGTAACAGGATGAAGTGTATGGCTCCATAAGAACAGATGTTTAGACTTGCTGTATATCTACTTTTGCACTCGTTTTTGGTGATCAGCAGTAGGGCACAGAAGAGCAGCCATCACGTGTTGACCGATGGCAAGCTTTTGTTGATGCGGGTAACTGGATACCCAACTTAAATATCCCACCCATCTTTTCAGCTGCTCTATGTCCAGCCCTACATCAGGAAGCAGCAGTGATGATGTTTGTACCATCTGTTGTTAACTATCAGAGTAGCTCAGGGTGGTAGATATGACTTGTATTTTATTACCTCTTACCACAAAAGAGGTGGAAATCACAATGTGTGTGATGCAGTGCATGCTGTGAAGACAAAAGAAAAAGTGTGTATATATATATATATATATATATACACATACACAATATACTATTCTGTTTAGTTCCAGATTAATGAACACTGCAAAGTGTTCTCTGTTAGAGGACACCCTTAGAAGTGGCTCTTACACACTAGCAGTATTTCCTTCTTTTAGCTAGAGAGAGAGAGAGGGAGAGAGAGTGATTAGTGGCACAYACAGGACTGTCTCGCTTGCCATTACCTTTGGGGTTTGGGAAGATCATTTATGTSTCACTGATTCAGCTCTGTTCTCATTTGCTGTGGCTTGCAGACTGATGCTGCTGCCTTGCAGTGCTTTTCTGCTTGACCATCAGAAGGCTCATTTGCGAACTGCCTTCAAACTGTTCAGCTCTGATCAGTTTGGAGTTGGATGTTTGTAGCTTTCATCATCTTGGAAGTATCATGACAGAAGTCTAGGAATATATGGTGTATGAGAAYTGTGGGGACTGCAAGATGCTCATGCACCCTCTGCTTCCCTGAGAACAGAAAAGCAGCAAACATTTTTTTAAGAAGCTGGCCCAGACATATTTGAGCAAAAAAGGCTTTGTACTAGCTTGACCAAGTTTGGCTGAAAATCCTGTAGAAATAATGAGCTGRAAAGATTTTGACAACCAGACAATTGATATTGGTCCTTCAGTARGGTTAAAAAGAAATGTGAGCATCTTTGGGGTGTAATTATTTTTATGTGTGTCCATATGTTCTATTTCTCTCATATTTCAGAAAGATGCATCAAACTACAGCTATAAATTGCTAAAGTTCAGACCATTTTTAYTTTGGAATATGTTACTAGCATTACATTTTCCATTCTAAGTTAACCATAACSAATTTYTRATTACAGTGCTAATATTTTTCTTTCTCAAAAATAGCTTTGTTCTACTTGCAACCAAAACCACAAATGTAAGAGGAAAAGAAGACCGAGTTAATTGAAGCATGAGGCAACATGGGTTTCATTAAACTAAAATTAATTAGCTATAAATCAGCATACCTACATTAGTTGTCTTTTTGGTGTACATATGTATTCTAAATTGTTCTAAATGCATAYATATACATAAATCTTTATGTCCTAATTAATTCTAAAATGGTTTCAATTATTAATCAGCTTAATGTAAGTAAGGAAGTGAAAGATTAATAAGTATCTTGATCTGTTCATAAGAGATATTCCAGAGACAAAAATACATGCAGTGATTTTTATATGGGTCAGGTGCAGCTGTGCCTTCCACTTTAGACACTCTGAATTATACATGTCTGAGTTGCCACAAAATCTTTTCTTTAGAGCCAGGGAAAATCCAGATCCCAAAAGAGCATCTTAATCCATAGTGGTATTGCAACAATATAAGTACCAGTCTGAAATCTTGAAGCTACATGGTCTAATGAGCAAAGAGGAACAATGAGTAAAAAAGGTATATTAACATTTAATATTTTCTTAATGCTTCCATTGAGTATGTGTCTTAATTTATCATTGTACCACCTGTCAGTTACCAGAACCCTGACTTTCTCCAGTACACGGCAGTTACAGAGCATGCAGGCTAAGGCAACCTCCTCCCCCTCAAATCTTCTACCCCCAAATCTCATACTAGCCTCTGTCTCACATTATTGAAGCGAAGCTTAGCACTAATTCTAGGTTTCCAGGTAGTTTCTTTTTAAGCTTTGAAGTTTTGGGGTTTTTTTTGTTTGTTTGTTTGTTTTGTTTTGTTGTTTTTGTTTTTGTTTTGTTTTTTGTTGTTTTTTTAAACCATTGAATAGAATATTTACTGACAGAACTATTTCTTCTAGTGTTTGTACAAATATGTGTCTTTCCACCAATTATTACCCAGTTTTTCCTGATGAATAAATAGCTCAGTAGTAGAATATGCCACTGGTAGAATTGTGGCATAAAGAGACAGGCAAAAATGACCTGCATAGTGCGTCTTGATGATGATGATGATAATGACGATGATGATGATGATGCTATCAGACATAATGGAACAAAACTCATTCACGGGTGCAAGAACC